TTGATTTTTATAATTGATCATTGCTTTTGGATTCTTCACCCTCAACTATAGCTTGAAATGACATTGTTCTCACCCTTGCTGATCTTGATGTTCACGATTTTATGTTGCCGTTGCCAACAAGACTCTAATGGCTTGCTTATGCATGCTTAGAAGAGTAAATGAAAACCGTCTTTGTGCCTCAGTTATTTTCTTTTCAAGACACAGCGGAGTTTTAAGTATGGCCTTAAGGATAAACTTGTGAGGCCTGTCATGAAAGTACCATCATAAGTTCTTAAATCAAACACTTGTTAGCAATTAATGTTTTCATTGTGTAGAGCACAAGGCGATTATGAAGAAAGAAATCTATTGAAATTTTTTCTATCTTGCACGTCACGTTAGAAAGCAATTTGATCATTTTCATGTTTACTTGTTGAATCATTACTTGAAACTGATAAGATGGCTTTCAAAATGCTGATGTGTTGGTAATGACAGCTGATAAATTATCTTTTGACACAGAAATTTTATCAAAACCACTGAACACACTCGATATTTCGGGTTGTGGAAATGACATGTAATGCAAGTGCACAATCATTTTCCTTATATGTTCTTGAACTCACAATAATGCAAGTCCCAATTATGGGCAGAATAGTCGAAAACACATTGAAAGATGGAAGATATTCAGTGGTTGAAGCAAAGGGAGGATTTGCATTTGTGTCAACATCATGTATGATGAATGAGAAGCAACAAATGACGTTGAATTATCTAGAATCAGTCTATTACAAGCAGTGACTCCGTAAGGTTTTCTTTATCTATCCATGCCAAAGAAACAAATTGCTCCTACATCTTCATCAACATCAGCTGTCATTTTAGCGAATGATCTAGAAGACTCATTACATGCTTCTACCTTCTCATGGTAGAGTGGATTGACATAGGAGGTGTGTGGCAGAATCATGAGGAGTGATATTAGATAAGAGACTTGTCATTGTGGCACAATCTAGCTGCAGAAAATATGATCAACAAACTTGTGGAAACCCTAGATGGGTCTCATTGGGCGTGCCAAAAAATAGATTCTTTTTCTTCAATCTCACCTCTGCTTCAAAAATAAAGATTCATATATCCAGATGTCTTTTAGGGTATTTTGTTTTTCCACTATTTCTCAAATTCGCCAATGCTGTATATTACTTGCTTTTTGTCCAAAAAACTCGTTGAGACATTGATCTTTTATACAAGTGGTGTCTGATTGTGTTCATCAAGAGGGCAGGTGTTATACAATCCCATAGCATAATCTTCTGTCTTCTTTTTGGGAGAAAAAGAGAAACTTTTTTTTGGAGATTATAAAGAGATAAAACAATTAGAACAGGAAGGGTTTCAGACTCTATTATCCTGTTGTTGGACCAGCTTTTATAAGGAAAGTGTCTAATAGTAGGATGAGAGCAACCATCTTGCATCCCACTTTAAGCTGATCTCAGCTTCCACTTTAACCAATCTTATTTGCATGTACTGTTTAGACAGTTTTTGTTGAGTGAACATGAGGGATGAAAGGAATGAAAAACAGGAAAACAGAGTACTCTGTAGTTGCTTCCCCTGTTTTGCTTGAGACATTTTACCACCTTAATCAAATCATGCAAGTAATTTTCCTTTTAAATCATACTAGGTAGATTAGACATTTTCTTTCATGTGTTTTCAACTACGGCAACGTTACTATATCAGTGTGAGGCATTATGACGTGGACTATAGATCATCAATGTTGTAATATTATAATATTTTTATTTTGTTAAATTGAATCATAACTTAAACTTCTACGAATTTAACAATTTATCAAATTAATATTTAGACAATTAAAATTTAAACTTGAGTTTCTATAATAGTCGGAGTAACAACCCACATATATCATTCATGATCGTACTAAATTTATCCTCCGAATAGAAATAGAGGTAGAAAATTTCTAATGATGTGACCAAAAGGTGTGATGAAACTTTTCAAATTTCATTCTTCTAAGTTGCTTTTTCTTGGAATATTACTGGCCTAACTTGATCTTTTTAAAGTGCAGAAATGGATAGAATAATCTTTTGATTACGAGATTGGACAGCAGGGATTAGTTATGTGCCAACAACCCAGATTTGATGCTACTGCTGAAATACGTCTTTTCTTTTCTTCTTAGTTGGATGGATATGAACAATTGAAAAAAAAAAAAATGACAAAAGAAACCATAAATGAGAACAGGTGGTGTGTGAAAGAAAGAACAAAGTAAGCATAGAATGCAATTGCCCCAAACATGATCCAGGAATCGAAGTTGCGTCAGGGTATCATCCAGAGGAAGAAACTGATTGCATGGGGAGCCATATTCGAAAATGTGTAAGCATGCATAAGAAAAGAAGCACATAATTCTGGTCCAGAAAATTTTAGCATTCAATGGCGGGGGCCTGCCAACATTATCTTTCCAAATTATACCATTTGTGATTAATATGGTGGGATTCCGCCAACCTTATTAATTTCTCATTAGAATCCAAACACAAAAGCACAAACCTTCATTTGTCCTCCATGAATTTAATATTTTACTGTACTTATCTAACCTCATCAGTTTGTTACATCTACAATCCCACATGATGCCATTGGTGAAGCAGTTCTCACACTCACAGTAATCTCTAAAATTAGTGGATACGTGAAATTAAGTGCGTTGAGTTTACTCAAGTAATGACTTCATTGATTTAAACAACTCTACTTTTTTTCATGTGGGATTTTCTGATTTTTTTGCAGTTTTTTAACTGCCATCAACAACTACTTTATTTTCGTTTTTTGGTTCTAAAGAAGGAGTTTCATGTGGAAGAGAATTGATAGATAAGACATCAATATTTTGGAATGGGAATAAGTTTTTGAAATTATCACTTGGAAAGGAAGAGATATAATTGAGCCAGCTAACCATTTAATTTCCCTTTTAACTAAAACCATGAAGAAGACCTTTTCTCTAAAAAAACATGAAAATACTACTAGCTTTGGCCTTATTTTTTACTTCAGATTAAGGTTAAGTTTTACTTAATTTACTCCAAATCAGTCTATCTTCTCAGAATTATTGGAGGCCACATAGAATTGCTTGCATCATCCATGCCACTAAACTTAAAAATCATTCGGTGGTCAATGAAATACAAATCCCCACTTCACAAAAGAAATATTAATTAAATTAAAGCATTATGTGTTGCATTCATAGAGATCCACAGGAACTCATACTCTTCTTTTAAGTAATGATATTTCTAAAGGATTCTAATTGCTTGGCATATGGGTGGTATTTTTTTTTTTTTGAATGTAGACAGTGAAATTCGAACCTCACACCTCAAATTTAACATAAAAAAAGCTTTTATAAGAGGTTAGTAGCCTTTGGGCCACAAGGCCGTTCTCAGCATATGGGTGGTTTTGGAAAATGGATATAAAGGGGAATCTTATTGGACATTGTACAGTAAATAATGCGCTTCCTTTTTTTGCTTTTCTTGGCCATAAGAAGGCAGACACGCAGTTGGGTTTTGGGCAGTCTCAGAAACAGAAGCAAGAGAGGAGAGGGAAATTAAGATGGGAGAACAAAGTGTTCTTGGCGGGTTTTGTGTTTGGCTTAAGAAAGCAAAACCATTCTTGGCAATGGTTTCCTTGCAGTTTGGCTATGCAGGGATGTACATAATCACCTCGGTCTCGTTGAGGAAAGGCATGAATCACTTTGTTCTTGCAGTTTACCGCCATGTTTTTGCAACTCTTGTCATTGCTCCCTTTGCCTTATTTCTCGAAAGGTATCCCTTCCAACCTTCATTTTCCTCCCTGAATTTGAATCGAACATAAAGTGCATACTTTTTCCTTAATTTGATCAAATGTTATTATGTTCATGTAGGAAAACAAGGCCAAAGTTAACTCTACCTATCTTCCTAAGGATAATGGCACTTGCTTTCCTTGAGTAATGCTCTTAACCATATCTTTTTCTCTTACTCATAACTTCATTTTATTTGAATAATCAAATTCATTTAAACATTGGATTATTAGGCCGGTACTAGATCAGAACTTATATTATGTGGGGATTAAGTACACATCTGCAACACTTGCATCTACTACTGTCAATATGCTTCCTGCGGTTACCTTTATATTGGCATTGATTTTCAGGTAAAATATTTAGAATCACTAAATTTCACAATAAAAATGGTATATTTTGGAATTCATTTCATAAAAGTTTTGGTCATTCCAATTGTTTAGGTTAGAGAAGGTGAATTTGAAGAAGTTCCGTAGTTTGGCCAAAGTGATAGGAACCGTAATAACAGTGATGGGGGCAATGATCATGACTTTGTACAGTGGTCCAATCATACATTTCATCAGGTCTGGAGGAGCAATTCACCATCAAAGCAGCACTGCATCGGTAAATACTCGCCATTACTTCATAGGCGTTTTGTGTCTGCTAGGAAGCATCTGTTGCTGGTCTGGTTTCTTCATATTACAAGTTAGTAATCTAACCTTGGAAGCTAATTGAGTTATTGGTATATATACTTCAAATTCCTTATTTACTTTCTGGTATTTGTTCTTGATTAGTCATTCACGCTAGAAAGGTACCCAGCAGAGCTCTCTCTTACTGCTCTAGTATGCTTGATGGGAACCGTGGAAGGTGCAATAGTATCTCTAATATTTGAAAGGGACATGAGTGCCTGGAAACTTGGTTTTAATAGCAGGCTTCTTGCTGCTTCTTACACTGTAAGTTTAAAACGGTAAAACAAGACAATGAACACAAAACCACAAAGTAATTCTCAATTCTAACTACTAGTGTCTTGTGAAACTTGATCAGGGAGTGGTTTGCTCAGGAATTGCTTATTATGTGCAAGGAGTTGTGATCAGGGAACGAGGGCCAGTTTTTGTTACAACTTTCAGCCCTCTATGCATGATCATCACTGCTACTCTTGGGGCCATAATTTTGTCCGAGTTAGTCCACTTAGGAAGGTATGCAAGCTAGCTGCTCCTCTTTTTTACGGTCTAATTATAACTCCATCTTTTTGTGCCAAATCCCCCTCCTTTGAGATTAACACACCTGAGTGGGTATTGTTTTGTGAATTCAGCATACTTGGAGCAATTATAATAGTGATTGGACTTTACACGGTGGTGTGGGGCAAAAGCAAAGACTTCAAAAGCATAGAAGAGTTGACTCTAACAGGGGAGAAAGGTAATGTCCAAGAATTACCCATCACCAACAGTGATCATGGAGGCACCATAGATGGACCTACCAGAGTTTGAATATTCCAACTGCAAATAACATCAAAGATTATGTCATGTCCAAATAGAATGTTGTTTGCTCTCTGCAAACTTGTTTTATGTACATCATGCGTCTACTAGTCCACCCTACTACATTTTTAATGTTGTACCTTTGATATCAAAGTGTCTTAATGAAATCATGTTTTCCTAAGTTTCTTATGTACTATAATATTTCTTAATATATAAAATTATTGTTCTCATCCCCTTCCTCCTCTCTTGAGTCTTCTTTCCCTCTAACCACTGCCTCATTTCCCCTTGACGATCAAGAAAGATAAATAAAGGTGGGGTTGTCTCCCTTTATTTTAGAGTTTTCTCTCTCAAAAAGGTTTAATCACCCTCTTTTTGGAGTTTTTACCTAGGCTTTCTTAATGCATCTTATCAAGTTTTGCCCATGATAAAGAATGAAGACAATGTGGGTTTGAGGTTGAATGGGCTCAGTTTGATTGCAACACTTTCTTTAATTGTCAGGAACATGGTTAAGGGTTGGGGTCATTGGCTAACCTTCTGCCCAAACATTGCAATTCTGTGCTAGAAAAGGGTGTGGTAAGATATGTGATTGTTAGAGGCGATTAGAAAGCTCAAGGGTAACCTTTCTATATGTTACATAGCCCTATTGATACTGTATGACAACTACTAATACTTTGAGACTCTTTGCACTTAATTATTGTTAACACATGTCATGAGCGCTGGCTCTTTATATTAGCATTATAAGACCTTTTTAGTGTTTTTACTTTTCCTGTTTAGCTTATAGGACGGAAGCATAACTTGCACAGTTGCACTGTATTTGTTTTGATCTTTTCAATGAAATTATGATTTTCTATCGCAAAAAAAAAAAAAAAAAAAAAAAAGGGAAGAAGGAAAGAGTCCCACTATAGTGTTTGGTAATATAACATTAACTCAATGCAACGTATAGGGAATCATATTGATATCATCAACTTGCATTATATCCCAAGGATACCTAATATGTTGGGCCGGAAAAGCATCTAATTCTATATAAGTTGGCCGTGTGACGGGTCAAAAAGATAGTAGAAAAGGTTCTAGATAGATTTCAATTTACAATTGCAAAGAATCATTCCACTTAGATTTTTCAACGATGCATAGATTTTGCATGGTATCTTCTTGTGCTTTTGCTTATGCTGCGCGGTCGTGTAACCAATTACGTCATTATATGACTAGTATTTTGGAAGATATATTGTATTTCATTAAATGGAAAAATTTTTAAGAAATGGTATTCATCTCATGTTTCTTGTGTTTTTCATCATTATTTTTATTTTTATTTTTTAGTGTTAGGGTCTTCTTGAGTCAATTGTCACACATCTCAAGACCTAATTTCTTTCCAATCTAGTTAAAAGCAAGTTAAGACAAAAGAATTTATGAGAAATTACCTTATCAAAAAATCAAGTTTTAATGAATAAAGTAGGAGCAAACCCCTATACCAACTAAATCACAAACTTCTTGAGTGTGTTTTTTTATCATTATGAATAGTCATGTACGTACTCTTCTAGCTATAGTCTTCTTAGTGGTAGGGCTAGAAATATTTTTTGGGGGTAAGAAAAAACTAAAGTAATGGGTTTGTGTGTAAATTAAAAAGTCAATAAAAGTAAAAAAAAATTAAAATTTTATTGTAAAAAATATTTATTAGTCTTTAATAGTAAATAAATAGTGGTCCACAAAGTAATATAAATTTCATTAATTAAAGGACAAAATGAACATATATTGAGAGTAAAAGAACACAACTAAAAAATAAAAACAAGAGGTTATTAGTGAATACTTTGTAAAAAGATGATATTGAATAACTTTTAATTCAATTATGATCTTTATTTTTTTCATCTTTCTTATTAACTATATTTTGCTTATCTTTCTCAATATCACTTAAAAGTAATATCCAATAATAAAAAAATAAGTAAAATGATAATAAAAATATTTAGGATAAATATAATAAGAATGAAATTTAAAGGACTAAACTTCTAAGTTTTCAAAAGCTTAGTGGGGCTTGGCGCCCACAGGCCACTCCTATCTCCGCCGGTGGCTCTTCTCATGCTTCTTGTGTATTAATTTCTCAAGTTGGATAGTAGTTCACCCTTAAACTAAATGACTTGAGGAAATTAGCCCTCATATCTCCCAACGTGTCTGTTAACTAACAGAAACTTAATGTACACGTCAAAACATTATGTCAACGTGAAAAGTCAACTAGCAAAAAAAATAATGATTTAGCAATAAAAATTAAAATATTCTTTCTCCTTCAACTTTCCCTTTCTCTTTCCTCTTTCTTTCCTCGCTTTTTTCATCAATCAATTCTTCATTATCGTCATCAAACAACATCTTCATCACACAACACCCATAAAAACAAAGAAATTTTTTTTTTAATTTGTTGCCAAAGAACCCAATGCCTGGGTTGACGAACTTGGCGTTGGGTTAATCAGGTTCCAAGGAACCCAGAGCTTGGGTTCATCCGAACCCAAAGCCTGGGTTCGATGAACCCAACGCTTGGGTTCGTCCAAACAGAAAGCCGGGATCTAAGGAACCTCGAGCTTGGGTTCGATGAGCCCAGTGTTAGGTTTCAAGGAACCCCGAACATGGGTTCGATGAACCTAGCATCAGGTTCCAAGGAACCCATGTGTTGGGTTCAATCAAATCTGGCTTTGGGTTCTAGATCCTAAGGGGAAAGAAAAAGAAGAATTTTTTTAAAGTTTTTTGTTATATTATTATTTTTTTTCATGTCATTATTTTTTGTCATATTATCTTCCACGTTATGAGATTTTTAATGGAGGAACCAAGTTGAGGTAAAAATAGTAAACAAGATCAAATTAGAGATTTTTTGAGTTAAGAGACTAAGTCAGAGGTCGATACAATAATTAAGGAATCAAAATAAAGGTTTAACCTTTTAAAAACGTCAGAATGTCCTAATCAATGTTTTAAAAACTGAACTAAACAGCAAACCATTTTGACTATTAGTTCTTAAGATTTTACTAATTAGACCACTTAAATTTTTAGTTTGACCGAATTGTATTGTAAAATTTATTTACTAGTTGACCACTTAAATCAATGTTAATTCTTCACTCACACTTGGTTTTCTTAGTTTAATGACTATAAGTTATATTGTAAATGCACCCATAATCCAAAAACTGAGTTTCGAATCTCCCACCCCTAAAAGTTGTAACCATTCAAAAAAAAAAAAGAAAGAAGTTTATTCTCCACCCCTTAAAGCATGAATGATAGCAATAGGATAGCATGTGAATAGATCTCCTTACATTTGGTCAATTGATTAGCATGGTGTCTAAACCCCCTTTTTTTTATTTTAATAAAAAAAAGGTCTCTTTTATTTTAGAATATAAAAGATACACTTATTATTGCAATAATTATTTTTAATAATATAAAATTATACAAATAATAAACATTCACTCAATTATAATCTCACTAAATATAACTAAACAGGCTAGTTCAAAAGCATATTACAGAACATGTGATGGGTCAAGGAGTTTTCATTATCTTTTTTTTTTTTTTTTAAGTAGATCAAAAGTAATTAAGTATCATCAGATTTCAATTTCAAGGGCCAGATTAAGTCATCTCTTTCTTACCTTTTTCTAGTAAGGAAACGACTGTATTTAATTTTACAGAAAAGTGCATAACGACTATGTGTGGCATGTTGTGCACATTATATTAGGTGTGTCATTTTGGATTATTGACCCATTAATATTGTAATTATAAATGTATTAATGTTGATATGTTGTACATGATATATCATAATAATAAATTTATAACAATATGTTATATTATAATTATATCTGAAAATTTTCAATGCTTTTATTATTGGCAGATAAGTGCATATCATAATGATTCCCTCTTGACAATTAAAGAAAAATTAGTCAAATTCTTCTCAATCTTTTTCTTCCCTCTAGCTTTCCATGAAATATTAGTGCAGTGTGGAATTTAAATTATAAGCATCCAATACATGGACTATCTTTTTGTTAAATTGCTTCAAATTAACTCAATAGTACCAATCGTACTCCATTGATGATTCCTTAATTATTTTCTTGATGCTGCAGAGCAATTTATTCTCTGCTTTTGTTCTTTAACCATTAAATGACTCATCCAAATACCGTTATTGATATTTTTTTTACCAAATACAATTATTGATAAATATTTTTTAAGATTAAATTTTTATCAAAAGATTTAAAAATGTAAAATAAAAGTATATATATATA